CTTTATCCAAGTAAATAATATCATATCCATCTTTCCGCATCTGACTCTGACTTCATGTAAATACATGCTTCTCATGGATACTATATAAGTTGTGTATACTTTACAGGATGTTGCAGAACCAACTCCAACAGCCCCTGGCTGTTGTGTGGTTTTTCTAGGCAAATTTACATACAGTAGTTTGCCAGTGCTTCCTGGACGGTCGGCTTTCTTGAAACCACTGTCGAAACCAACGCAATGCGCATGGCCTGCAGCTGGGATCGAACCTGGCATCCTGGCATTACAAAGCGTTCGCATGGACTTAGCCACAGAGATACTATATATGATTTCTCAAAAATTATTTTCCTTTTACCAGCATACTTTCTACAGCCAGCACACCTCACAGTCCTCCATAATGTAGTTTTTGATAACTCATTTTTTTTTTTTTCAGCCAAGTCCTCATTTTCCTTAGTGTCACTATTTCATTCACATCAAACACCTGACAAATTTCTCTTTGAATAAGTTCTCCGGCAAAACTCTCCAAATTTTCTCTCTTCCTTCTGTTCCTATATTCACTGAACATGAGCTTCCCTTGTCTTGTTCTCTTCTTAGGGTTTGAAAAAGACCCATACAATTTACTTCTTTTAACCTTTCTTCAAAAATTTGGTACTTAATTTATAACTTACCCCTGACGTCACGACAACGTCACGGGAGACATTCCCAATAAATTCTAGGGTGTTCAGGTTGTAGTTTCTCGCGATTTCTCTACAGTAAAGTTTAGGGTTAGGGTTAGGGTTAGGGTTAGGATTAGAAGACACTAGATGAACACTCAAAAAAAGCACCACACAACAGCACACTTGCACCCCTTGAAATAATGGACTGTCAGGTCAGCTGTGGATTTCCCGCGGGGATTTCCTGTTTGGGGTACGTTATAAATTAAGAACCAAAAATTCTGATAAACCCCTTGCGATGTTCTAAACGTAACACATTTAATTTTTATACTCATGGCAAACATATTCACAGGTCACCCTGTTGTGAAATGCTTATGAAATGAGTTTAAAATTATGTAAATGAGATTATGACGGTATACGACGTCTCTATTGACTATTAAAAATAATTATACCTTGGTTTTTTTATGTGGATTACCTCTAAAATGCATGCAAATGAATGTTTAAAAAATTTTTTTTTTTAGTTTGCATCACTCCATTAACTGTAAACATGCTAATATATGCTCTGAATTGGTGTCTGCTTTTTCTTATGCATCACAAATAAGGCACAATATGCACATTATAATTTTTTCTAACAAGGACATGACTATTAACAAGTTTCTTGCCAAACAATTTACATCAAACCACTACTGAGTTACAGATTTGTACAGCTAGACGTGACTTCTGGAAAACATTATAGTTATAACATGCAAAACAAATAAATTCTGTTGCAGGATTTGTAAAAAATCTGGTAACGAATGTATCACAATCTGCTGCTTAAAAATTACAATATATGAAAACAAATTTGTCTAGACCATTTTATTAATGGAATGTTGTAAAAAGTATAACCATGACAACATTTGTTAAAATATTACCAGTCATAAATACTTAACACAAATACTTAACACAGACACATAACAAATACTTGGTTATATTAACTATCAGATACCGTCATAGAGTAGTTTTAAAGTCAAGTCACACATTGTGAGAACCACTGATAACTAACATTCTGAAACATCTTATCAGGCATTCACTAAGCTCAATGAGACCAATACAATTAAAAGCAGTGTTCTGGAAATGTCCAGTACAAACCAAGAATGAAGTTTAAAAAGCATCCACACACACACAAAAAAGTTTGCAGCAGTGTACCTGAAAGTTAAAACAAAATGATCACAACACAAAATTTGGCTAGGAGACTCTAGAAAAGAAAGAAAACCCACATTTCAAGTTTCTCTACCAATGAAGTTACCTGTCTTGTTTTCATTCATTACTGTGGTGGGAGATTCCTGTTTTTTTGTTATAACTGTGGATCTGTATTCAGTTTTTCTTTACTGAGCATTCCACTTAGTGTTGTTTATTCAGTTTTCAAAAATTTAGTTGGGGGGAGGAGGTTAGAATAGACTTGCTGCCCCTTTACAAGTAAGTTGTAAAAGGCAGCTGCAATTAATCTGGTGTTTGCTGAAATTGAATGTCTTGGGCCAAAAGGCACAGATATCAAAGCCTAGCTGTTAACATAAAGGAAAGGCAAGATGGACATTTAACCAGATTGTGACCAGTACTATCAGTACTGGAACTCTGCGCTGGCTGTTGAAGGTGAGGACGGAGCATGTATGGGAATGCCCCGAGTGCTGTGATGTCAATTCTTGACTCAACTCAACAACATAATGTGAAAAAACATCTTTTTAAGGCCGAATGCAAAAGAAAAAGACAAAGAAGGACATAGTCAATATGTTGAATGAAAAACACAAAACTCAGGTTGAAAGGGTGAGCAGCTAAAATTGGATTCAGACCATAATGTTAGTCCATCACAGATGATGGTGATGACACTGTTTACCCATTTGATGGGGATAAAATAGGTCAAAGTATTCAACGTAATCTTTAGCATGAATATATGAGATTAGTATGTCTAAAAAGTCTCTGATCAGCATGAGCAAGGATCATTCACTTTGGGCATACAAATTATTTTGCCATCTGTTCTAGCCGGTCTCCTTTATTCCACACTGAGGCATCATAGTTCTTCTTCGTCTTCTTTCATTCACTTGAAATAGATTATCTATATCTGCAATGTTGTCTCTAGTATGAACTTCACTGTCTCATTGTGAATGGGGCCCTAAATCTTTAAGCTCAAAGATCTTCCTCTTTTCCCCGGTTACTCTGCCAAAGTGGTAAAAATAGACAATAATGGCAAATCAAAAGAAAGGAAACCAGAATGGCCAAAACCAACAGCATCCAGAATCTTATACTGTCAACTGATATTCATCATCTTAGAAGACTAAGAAATGGTTCAGCTTCTTTATTGGGACCTGTATGCTTGGCTCGCTAGCATAGTTAGCTAAACCTGACTTCACAACAACTGGGTGATGAACTCCTTGTGGTCTGGGTTCACGCCCAGGGGTAGGCAGAAAGGCCACATTTATCCCAGATTTACAGTATTTATCATGGAATCAAGGCCGAAGGGTTGCGATATCCACAGTACCGAGCCAAAGAGTTAAGAACTCATGGTTTCTGGATATTTAAAAATAAAATTTATAAAAAATTGGGACCTGTATACAATTTGTTTCATAGCCAGGGCAGAAATCATCACAGTTCTGGATACTTTCAGCCCTCTCTGCTAAATGTACCACTAAATTTAAAGATTTTATTGTTTAATGGAAACTCATTTAAAAATTGGGATTTTTCAGTAAAGGTCGTTCAATCCTAGAAAGTAACAATTGTAAAAACATTCAAGTCTCTCGTAATTCATGCAAAAAATGTATACCATGAAAATTAGAGATAAAGTCAACAAAGTGTTTCAAAATGTTGTCAAAATAAATATGTCATTAACTTTTCTTAACTCTTTCTCTTTCAGGCACAAAAAAATAAGTCATTAACTTTTTCTTAACTCTTTCCCTTTCAGGCAAAACACCAAAGTTTTATTTTATTCATTATATAAGTTTACACTGGCGAACTTCTTCTAGTTCTTTGGATACATTTCTTATTTCTACTACAGTGGCTACTTTAACTTATCGTGTTTCATTTGTCTATTTTTTTTAAGCTGAATTAAATAACAGTAGCTGGAAGGCGGATTAAAGAAGTTAAATGTAGAAGCAAAGACATCACTTTACAAAAGAAAGAAAATTCTTAAAAATCTTTCAATTGTCAACTGAGACGAGAAAGAGAATTCTCAAGAGTTATCCTGATATATAGAGGTGAATCATGGACAGTTGTATGATTAGTGCAAAATTATATGGAAGTGGCATAGATATGGTTTTATAGATGAACAATGAGAATACCTTGTACAGAAGAAAACAACAGTAATGAAGTCTTGAAAGACAGTGACCCACAGAGAAAACTGATTGGCCACATCAGAAGGAGACAACAATTTACATTCTTTGGTCATATCACGAGAAGGAGAAAACTGGAGTACATTATAATGGTAGGAAATTTATAAGGGGATGCAGAAGGAGACCGAGAGAGACAATGCTGGCCAATTTGACATCAGGGTATGGAAGATCATCCGTCAGAATTGACTGGTAATCTGGTAAACTTAGTTTCAGCTTCATAGCAAACGGGTCACCCCATAGTTGCTCCGCTCCTGTGCTAATGAAAAACACACAGAATGTTTATCACAGTCCCTTGTGGAAAGATTGACAGACTGCTATCTCAGCATATGCACTAGCATACACATGCATTAAAAGCATATGGTAGCCATTCGAAGTGCTAATACAAACAGTCTGACATTAGAAATGCAGTTAGTTCATCATGGATGGTAGCAGAAGTCACCAACAGAACAGCAGTACATAAGGTGGAAGGTTGTATATGGACATGACTACCAACACCACACGGCATGGATTATATGAAGAAGAAGAAGAAGTAGTAGTTCAATAAGACTCAAAGATTGTTGCTCTAAAATGCACAACAATTTCAAAGTGTTGAAATAAACTGTCTGATACCGAAAGAGTAAAATAAAATTGTAAAACACAAGTTTCTAAGTAACCTGTAGGCTTTGGCTTTGTGTATGTGCAAACTATAAGACAACCTCCATACTGGTTATTTTCATAGGTACTTTATTTTTAATTCACCCAAAACACAAGAAATCCTAGAGTTCCTGGACAAGTCCAATATTCTAGGGGTGTAATTGATTGGGGTTAGGATCAGGATCTTCGTCAGCCTTGACGATTTCAGAGACACCCACTTACCCTAACCCTAACTCATAACACCACTAGAATAATGGACTTGCCCGGGAGCTCCACGATATCCTTTGTTTGGGGTGAATTAAAACATTTTCACATTTCCTCAATGGTAACTGTTCACCGGACTGCATTCACTTATGCGAAATTAATCTCTGTACACCTTTTTGAACATGCGAATCTTTAACCTGTAAATGCCGTACATTATCAGGTGTATTATTGGAATTATGACAAAACCAACAAGAATAATATACCCAATTGTCTCACCTGGCTTACCCCAGTCTAGAATAAAGTACATGACATGAGAATGATCATCCACCCAGTAAAACAATGAGAAAAATACATAAATTAAACCGTAGATGATAGGATATACCACATGCAGTAGCCGCACAGGAATGGCCGTTACAAGATGCTCTATCAGAACTAGGATGCTGTTCACCAGGTGGAGCTGAATGTTCGCATTATTGATGAAACCGACGTTGGAATACGGCACAAGTATGGCCCAGAACACAAGTGTCACCATCACTGCTGCCACGCTCACTGCATTAAACAGTATCCATATGATTGCCATGTAGAAAGGTATGCTGTTGCTGCAGAAATCAAATAAATCATTTTGTTAAAATGTAGCCTCATAGCAAACACTGCATGTATTAGGCCTTCACATAATCTAGGTAATGATCTGTGAAGTGGGATGGCCTGTTTTCTCTTTCTTTCCAACCCAGACAATTCCCAGAACATTCTGGAAATTATTTTGTACCTATTCTTATGAGGTTGGCATGACCCCAGTGCCGTAACATTTGTTGTGAATTTGAAGAGAAAAAAAAAGACACAGACAATAGATTGTAAAATTTATTCCAGGCATACTGTGCTGTATCTCTCAGGTGTTTATTACAGAAACAACTGATTAAAATAAAGCAAAAAAAAAATGAAAAATAAAATCAACTACATTTGAAAGTAATTGTCTGTTTTGCAGAATACTGTACTTCATAAAAGCCATGATAATAAACTGGTTCAGTCCAGAATTATGCAGACAAAAGGACATGGACATGAACCTGCATGTGCCCTGGGGAAAAGTGGATTATAGTAGCAGATAAAGGCAAGGAAAATATATAATCAGACAAAAGCTAGCACAATCAGTATTGCAACTTCTTGGCTAGCTGCTGAAGATGAGGATGGAGTATTTATAAAAATGCAGCCAGTGCTGTGAGTCCATTCTTAACTCTTAAGTAACAGAAAAAGTAGTGCATCCATAATAAACATATGAATCTGTGACGAACGCAAGATTTTCTACAGAAGCTACAGAAGAATTACCATAACCACCCTTTGTTTAGATCTCTTTGCTATCATCATCATGTAGCAGATCATTTACAGAACTCTCAACACAGTCTGCCTTAAAAAACCTTGATATCTTGCTAGCTTTTCCCCCTCGTGCACTTCCCCTGCTACTGTTCTATCCAAACCACTGTGACGTTTGATATGGCCTAAATAGTTAAGTTTTCAAGACAAGATGGTTTTTTACGAGCCAATCTTTCTTGATACTGAAATCTTTTACGACATCAATTTTTCTTTTGCCTCTTGGTACATGCGTTCTGCAAATCTATCTTTTGCAGTTCACCTCAAAAGCCCTCATTTTCTTTCCTAATATTTGCAAGATGGTCAACATCTCAAGTCAGTATGCTGCTACAGGAAAGATGCATGCTCCCAAAAATATCTTTTTAAAACTGATCATAAATTCCAATGTAGCAATGCCCGAAAAAATAACTATTGTAAAAGTACTGTAACCATACTAACCCCTGGTCCGCTACCACCACATGTGTTCCACCATCACTATGGATCTCTTCGTAACCATGTGATGTTGTCAGAGTTTCATGAAATAACCTTTTATGATCTTCTGGTCGTCGACTGTGCATTAACTGCAGTCCAGCTCCACGACACAAGATGTACACAATCAATGTCACAAGAGCATGAAGAAGGAAGTAAATGGTCAACAGTGTGTAGGTCCAGTTGGTTAAATATGCACCCCATGCTTGTACCTTTTGTAAAATTAATAAATAAATGTATTTAATTATTTAAAATACTTAAAATTAATAACTGAATAATTACAATAGAAGGATACCTTTGTAAACTGAGACAGATCTAACAAGAACTATTTTTTTGGCCAACTTGATGCCAAAACCTGGTGAGAGAAGCAGAGCAGTTTTACCAAAGAAAACCATGAAAGACCTGGTAAAATGATCCAAACAAACTTTAGATAAATGTCACAAGCAGCAACGACAACTACAGCATAAAGATTCATCTTCTTCTCATTCACCAGCTTTAAACTTTGGGGGAAAGTTCTGGTTGTTCGTCTACTTCTAGACTCTGGTCCTGTTCCAAAAACTGAGTGTTGTGTGCACATCCGTTCACAGGTCTGATTCATCTGCATGCAGACTATTGGTTCCTTACCTCGCAGGCAGATGTACTCGGACTTTAAAGAAGCTACCATTCAGTCGACTGTTTAGTCCCATCTCCATCATTGAGGTGCATGTGACCTGCTGTTTTTTGTTTTTTAGAATATTTTATGGTGAAGCTCTGATTCCTTCCATAGCCAGACTTTTGTATATAATCATGTACCGTCTCTACAATGAAGGTTGGCTATAGTGCACCGCTGTTGTCTTTGAAAATATTTACCTGGTAAGGCCCTTTATCTCTCCCACGATGGTGACTTTCGTATTACTATCCAAAAACCATGAGGACAAGTTTTTGTTTCCAAACCATCTACTGCGGGGAAGGAATCCTATGACTCAAGAATCATGAAACCATTATCTACATACGCTAACTTTTAAGCCATGGAGCAAAACATGTAAACAAACTAAGACTTTTGTACCTCTGTTCAAAGGTCATAAAAGAGTGGGTTTTTTTTCTAAATAATCCAAGCAGAAATTGAACACTAGCATGTGAGAAAAGTGAAATATGTTCACACAAAGCAAAGGTATAATTCACCATTAGAAAATAATGTCATGTAAACAATGAAGAAGACGCTTCCTCTAACCCTTAGCAGTAAATCAGATGCTAAATGGAACAAATTCTCAGTTCACTGTTGTTGTTATCGATCCAGTGGTGCATGAGCTTGCGCCCTTTGGTCCAATGCCTTGTAGTGTTTTCACAAGCTGTTCTTTTGCTCCATACAAGGTGTTCTGGTGTCTGGTCTCAGACGGAGTAGCATTTTTCTAGTCTCTTTGGCACTCAAAGAGATGATGGTCAACAGTTGCGTTTGGGTAGTTACATAACTGGCACTCTGGGGAGTATTGTGGCTGTATTCTGTTTTATTCTGCCCATTGAGTGGAATATGTTGTGTTCTGAGTCTGAAGATGGTGGTCTGGTCCCTCCTTGTTGGATGCTGTCGTTAGAATCAGGGCCAGCCATATGACCATAAATCTCTCTTCCATTATCTCCCATAATCCATCTGTTCAGCCAATTCTCTTTGTTTATAGCTCTTATAAGAGCTTTTGTTGTCTGTACGGTTGCTGCTGTGGGTTGTTGTTCTTGTGTTGCTCCTTTTTTCTTTGCCAATTTGTCAGCTCTGTCACTATCTGGTGTGCCAGATTGGCCTGGGATCCACTGTATCACTTTTTTTATGTTGTATGAGCAAATGAGCTGATCAGCATCTGTAATTATCTTGGCGGACATCAAATCGGTAAAGATAAAAATATTTTTAAACAATTAAACAAATATGTTCATGATCAAAACTGAACAACATTATTGGCCCCCCCCCCCCCCCCCCCCCCCCCCCCCCCCCTTTTCCCCACAAAACTTTTCTATGACTTACCTGTCCAAAGCCTTCTACTTCGGGCATTTGAAAATCTGTTGATGTGAGTGCTAACCAAACTGTTGGGTACACAGCCATGACAATCCGGTATATTACATACACCAGGCCAGGGGTCCTCCACTGTGGATTTAACATGTTTTAGAATTCAGTGTTTATAATTTATTTATCCACTGTACTAAATTTTGATTCTTCTTATTTTTCTTCACGTTCACCAGTTGTAAACTCAAGTGGAAAATTCTGGTTGTTTGCCCACTTCCAGACTTTAGTCTTGTTTAAGAACTTGAGTTTTGCATGCATATATGTTTTACAGATCTGATTTTTTGTAAGTAGACTTTTGGTTCCTCATAGCTGAGACATTTACCCTCTGACTTTAAACCCAAAAAATTCCTGACTAGCCTTTCTGTCTATGCCTGGGATTATTGTTGTGCTGCATCAAATGAGCTGATCAGCATCTGTAATTATCTTGGCTGTAGGTCTATGCTGTATGCCTGGATCATTTCCCATGTTCAAGGATCTTTAGACAGGATGTCACTGTTTTTTACATAGCACAATTTTTGATAGATGGTGAAAGCTTTGTCTGCTTTCAGTCCGTTTTTTTTTAAAGATGTTTGTTATACTGTGCATGGGTTTTATGTTCGTGCGTTTACATTGTTCTGTTAGGGTAAGCACCTTTTCTTCCCTTTGATGGCTCAAGCTCTGGAGGCCAGAAGTTGCCTCCAGCTCACTGAATGGTTTGCTTCTCATACATTCAGTGATAATACTGAGACCGGTGTTCTGTATTGTGTCCAGTTTATATAGATTTGATTTGGCTCCAGTGGAGTATGCTTCCGTGCCATACTCCAGTTTTGGTTGTCCATATCATGTGTATACTTGTCGTACAGTGTTGGCATCTGCACCCCAGCTTGTTCCAGTAAGTTTCTTCACAAGTCTGAGCCACAGGGTAGCTTTCCCTTGGATGTCTTCAATGTGAGGGCCCCAGGTTAGTCTTTTGTTGAATTTTACTCCCAAATATGTGAGGTTTTTCCTTCTAGGTACAAATCAACTAATTATAGCTTTGTGGAAAGACAGAAGAGAGTTGAGACATTTTGCTCTGTTTTTGTGTGTGACTCCCCAAGAGTCTGTCCACACAGAAAAAGGGCAGATTAAGAAAGAAGACAGGCTAGAAAGACCCGTATAATGGGCCCCTTACCTAAAGACACATTCCCTGCCCTGAACGTCCTAGACCCTTCCAGGTGCATATTGAGTTTACAAGTCATCTCTGACTCAAATCAACTACAGCTTCATGACAGATGAAAGAAAGACTGGTCCCCATAACTTGTGATGGATAAACAGCATAACATCTTCAGCATTCCGAGCCCTTGAGGTTCATTGCAGCAGACATCCCCAGCCTCTATTCATCTCTCTGGTTGGCCTTCTTTTTCCAGTTGATGACACCAAGTGTTTGCAGGTCTCATTGGATATTATCTCTACATCTTCTTCTTGGTCTGCTTCATGGTCTACGACCATCATCTCCCTCGTGTATACAGTTTTTACTTCTCTGTCATCTGACATTCTTTCAATATGCCCCAATCATTTAAGTCTATCAGCTCTCATGATGCCAGTGATCAGTGGTAATTTAAACATATTATGAATTTCATTGTTGCTTCTCACTCTCCATTCACCGCTGTTTGTATCTTTTATGGGTCCAAAGATGTGCCACAAGACTGTTTCCGAAAACCTGTATTTAGGCTTAATCTCTTTTAGTTGTGCTCCAAGTTTCAGAGCCATATAACACGACTGGTCTAATCAACATTTTATATATTTTGATCTTGGTGTTGCAAGACAGACACTTTGACTTTATCAGATGTTGAAGGGCATAGTATACTTTATTTCCAGATTGTATTCTAGGAGCAGTTGAAGTTTGCACTCAAGTACTTATATGTTTTCATTCGTTTGATTTTCATATTATCGACTTGTGTGTGGCTGGAGTTTATATCCTTTCCCTGTCTAGTTATTATCATGTATTCTGTCTTATCTTGACTGATAACTAGTCCCATTTTTTTAGCTGATTCTTTTAAGACGGTCAGTGTTTTAACAGTCTCTAGTTCATTTTCTCTAACGATATCAATGTCATCAGCATATCCAAGTATTCTTGTAGTTTCTCCTATAGTACACTCTTGTTTCAATTTCCTTATAATTTTCTCCAAGGCAAAGTTGAAAAGAAGTTGGGACAGATCATCATCTTGCTTTAAACCAGATGTTATATGAAAAGGGTCTGACTTTCGGCCTTTATATATTACTATATTACAAGTGTTTTCTATACATAGTTTGATCATGGTAATTAACTTCTTTGGTATTCCAAAGTCCTTCATAGCATTCCATAAACTGTTAATAGTACACTATCATACGCCTTTTTAAAATCCACAAAAACATTTTGTACATATTTTCTATATTCCTAATTTTAATCTGATATTTGACGTAAGATGAATATCTGATCTACTGTTGATCTTTTCTGTTGAAAACCCACTTGGTAATCTCCCAATATGTCTTTGATACATGGTTTTAGCCTGTTTAGCAGTACCGACGATACTATCTTATAACTTGAAGATAATAGTGATATTCCTCTATAATTTTCACACTTATACTTGTCTCCTTTCTTAAAAATGGGTGAACAGCATACCTTAGTAATTTTCCTATTTCTTTCAGAGCCATACAACTGCTAACACTTAGTCATAATTGACCTGGACATAAGGAATTATAAACGCAAAACACATGATTTGAACTCAGAAGTTATGAATGTGCTCATCTCTTAAAGCAATCGTATGAAGCAACTTACCTGAAAGACACAAAACCTTTCTGTGGCAACACCGCTAAAAAGAATTTTCCTGACACGAAATTCTTCTCGTAAACTCATGTTGTATGTGCCTTTAAACAACCAAAGCATGGTACAAATGAAATCAAATCATAAAAATTTAAAACTAATTCATTAAAAATTATGTTCTTTATAGTGAATGAAATTAAAGCAGCATTTCAGAAGGTGATAAGTATCTTATGTAATAAACATCAGAAAACAAGTACTGAAATGTTATATCCTGTCTGTCCTGATGTAAGGCAGTGAATCTTGGATTGTGAGCAAACAAATTAGGAAGAGTTTAGGGCAAACAAGATGTGGTTCTTGAGAAGAATGTTGCAAATACCTTGGACTGCCAGAATAACTAATAATGATTGCCTGGAAATGGCTAATGAAAGTAGAAGATTTATACAACAATTAGAAAGAGACACAGTTCTTTGGTCATGTGATATGAAAAGGAGCACTGGAAAATATCGTGAAGATTAGAAAAATCACAGGTAGAAGAGGCAGACCAAGAGAAACGATGATGGATGGCTTAAGACAGTGGCAAAGTGGAACTTATCCAGAACACCAAAGACCGAGATCTGTGAATGCCTAGACCAGCTGGCAAGGCATTTGATGATGATGTAGTAAATGAGCTTGTTGCTATGTTTTGGTGTGTTGAAAATCAAATCAGTGGCTACCTTTACTCCCCAAGACTTTTACCTGGGATTCCTAGTTGGTACTGCGGAAGTTTCAAAATTGACAGATGTTGCACATGGGAATACTAAGCATCAGCACATCTGTATTTCAGGGACTCACATCTACATACTTCTGGGATATGCAGGAGTGCAAGGGATGAAAGTGTATATCTTTTTGGTAACACTCGTACTGGAAAAAGGAGACATTCCGAAGACTATTTATGATGGAATGCTGACAGAAGACAGGTGAGATGAAATAACATGTGAAAGAATATGTGAACATGGAATCAGGAGTGAGGGACGTATGAGAAGAAGAGAATGACATGTGTATAATCAGTGTGCTACAGGAACAGTTAGACATTTGCTACAGGAGAGGGAGTATCTGTGGGTATGCCCGGTGTGCCATGATGTTGATTCTTAAATTAGTAACCAGATGTGTTGAAAATGATAATGCTGATTTTGTTCACAAATTTAACTGGTAAATAAATGTTACTTTTTTTTTTTAAATATGGATCTAGCACCACATGCCTGATACAGGATTCAAATCAACATAAAGCTGGATTTTGTTTTTGTAAAAAAAACCCCAGCCAGAAATGGGTTAAAAGTATCCTTAATTGTACAGGACTTTACGGAGCCAACTGTTGTGGTCTTTCTGAGGGAGATGAAGAGTGACACCATGGACTAGAAGTAATGAACACTTGTAATTTTTTTTTTCTTGAGGTGGTATGCGGTACCGGCACCCATTTTGTTTAAATATTAATTTACATTTTTTAAAGGCATATTTTTTCATGCGCTACTGTAATAAACACTTTGTGGTGAGTATTATTTTGGGTACCTGCACCTTTTTTCTTGAAACAAAATGCTCTGGTTCAAACTAATAATTCAGATACAAAGTGTAACTAACATCTGTGCTACATTATCTTTGAAAACACCAGAGAAATGTCTGGTGAGTTGTCTGATACTGATAGAGTTGCGCTACATTCATTGTGGGAGTCACTGTGGCACAGAGGCTAAACGCTTGCATTCGGATCGGAAGGTCATGGGTTTGCTTTCTGGCGGAGCTGGACTATTTTTAAAAATGACTTGACTCTGAGGTCGACCCAGCCTTGAGTGAATACCGGGTGCAGTCTCGGGAAGTGAAGGCGGCCGGTAAGATACTGACCACATCACTCATCTTGTGCCGATTGGTCTATAAAAATATAGGTCTAGCCCTATATGCCTAAAGGTGTGGAAAAGGGACCTTTACTTTTTACTTACTTACATTCATTGTTTGGTCCAAGTGGAGTTTACCTATTTTTTTTAGTTTTTGTTGTTCTATCATGGATATTCATATCAACCCTTTCTATCCAAATTGTAACCTGAGTTCCTTCTCACAAACATAATTATTTTAACTCATTCAGACCAGAGAAATGTCTGGGGTGAGTTGTCTGGTACTGATAGAGTTACAATATGGTTAGTCTAAGTGTAGTTTCCTATTTTTGATTCTGGTAGTTCTATCACAGACACTTTTATTAACTCATTCTATCCAAATTATAACCTTAGCTCCTTCTGATGTATATTATTATTTTAACTTATTCACACCTTTTATCTTCTAAGCCAGCGGTTCTCAACCTGCGGGTCGCGCCCTATTTTAGCTTACTCTTATGACATGCTTGTTGGAAGGTTGTGGGTCTTTTCTTGTTTTCCCCACAAAGGAGCTCTGAACCCACATGGTTAATGCTGGTTCTGGAACAAAAACATGTCTAAAGGTGAACAAACAATGTGAACTTGAAGATGAAAAAGACAAAGAAACTATAAGACACAGCACACACAAAAAGGGAGGGATGGAAAGAGCAGGGGGGGGGGGGGGTCAGGACACAAAATTTCTGATAATGTACAATGGAAATATGAGAAAGTTCATAAATACTAATAAATTTATCATCACAAAGAAGTAATTGTAACAACAGCTTTGTATACAGACCTATGAACTAATGAAACATAAAACACCACAGACTGACAAACAGAACTCACAAGGTGGTCTTAAAATCCTCAGATGATAAGAAGTCCAAGACTGTTAAGTAGAGCACACATACTGAGAGCCAAGTGGTTTTATATACCATTGTCTTGTACACAGCATGACATGTCTGTTCTCTTGTTTGTTTAAAGTCCTCTTAAAACTATCTGATACAGTTAATTGGCATGTGCCATCAGCTGACCTATATTTCTGGCCCTGTTCTAGGAGTTTATTTATAGAAATGTTGGAGGATGCATAACAAAGTAACCAGCTGCTGACAGCTGGTGCTAAATGAACATGTTGACTGTGACGATGAACCAGCTGTGACTAACACAAATGTGACATCTAACTCAGTCAGTATGAGGTAACTGATCATGCTGTTCTGGCAACTTCATACATGCCATACATGGTATAAATATCTCCCCCTTTTATGAATTTTCGTTTTTCTAACCCAGTTTGTATTTTAACAGAACTTCATTTCTTTCTCCAAGTTTTACTATTACATCTCTTTTAGACAATCAATTCATTACTTTTCTTCTTCCTCTGCCTATTTACCAGATGTAAACGCCAGTGGAAAGTTTTGGTTCTTCACCCACTTCTGGACTTTGGTCTTCATCAAGAACTTCAATTTTACATGCAAATCTATTTTAAAGACCTGGCTTAAATGTATGCAGACTGTTAGTTCCCTGCCTCTCAGGCAGAGGCACTCTGACTTTGAGGCAGAGGCACTCTGATTTTGAAAGATATAGACCTCTAATCAGTCACCTTTCATGACTTGCTGTTTGGGGAGGGGGGAGGCGAGGCAGGTGCATATATTCTTTGTACCCCCCCCCCCAACCCCTCACCCAAAAAAATGGTACCCCAGAGACCAAACAGGGAATTCTAAACTATAACAATCTAAACTATCTTCTGTGTAGATACCAGACTCCATTATGGGGAACAACCTCCCTTAGAAACACATGGTAAAAGTCGACTAATTAGGGATTTCTTTTGGAGTCAGAGAGTACATCTGTCTGACAGGCAAGGAACCAATAGTGTGAAAACAAATCAGCCAGGTCTGTGAAACGAATGTGTGCGCAACACTCAAGTTCCAAAACAAGACTGCTTCCAAATGGCAGCAGAAGTCCAGAAGTGGATGAACAACCAGAGCGTTCTGCCAGTCAATGCAAAGAAGAAAAAGATTTAACTTCCTCTTTTTCTTCTTCTCTTCTATTCTCTACTCCTAGAATGCCTTGCAGCCTTTCTCTTATCAAATGAAAATCCATGCATATTCCTATTCTACTATATATTTTCCCACCTCTTCCTCAAATCAGAAGTACCAACTGTAATACATATAGTATATACATACAGGCACCCACACACATAAATGTATATTTATGAGTGCTCATCACAGTCTTTAAAAGTAGCTATTCAAGCCAGCAATAAATAAATAATATTAAAAAATGAATGAATGAATGAGATTTAACCCCACTATGACATCCACCAAGCAATAAACACCCGGTGACACAAAGTGCCACTATACGGATAAGAATCACCCTTGGAGAGGTCCAAAAAAACCATGTTTAACCTTTTGATTATATTATGGCCCCCCAGCTACAGCCGGGGTAGGGCTTTAAAATACAAAAAAATGCGTTCTTTATATAAATGATAGAAATTTGTCTGGTAAATATAATATAATGACTTGATATAGTTTTTAACATTATGCAATATGGCACAGGTTTGTAAACATGAATCATTTATTTACCAATGCTTTCAGTAATGAAATCTAATCACATAATATTCAGAAAAGTATAGCAGCACAAAATCTAGGTAGACTCTTTATTTCTAGTTCTATGAGCTGAAACTTAAAAGAAAAGAAAGCTGTGCATAGCATTATTACATACAGCTAAAAAATGCTTAGTGATAGCAGCCAATGCCCAATAAGTCCCTTAGTGATGAAAACAAACTGCCTGCCTACAGTCTACAGTTACAGGCCAACATCTGACTAGAACTGTCTCCTGTAGTAATAATTTGTATTTTTTAATATAGTGGTACACGGAATTTGAGCACCTTAAAACTCAAACTCGGAAAGAAAAGTTTAAGTAAATTGTGCCTCAGAACTCGAATGCGGCCTTGGAAACCGAACGTCTGGCTCGTGCCGATCACGAGTCTGAGCTACGGAGCTTCAGCACCTTCTTCACCAGCAGCAGAAGGATGACATTTTCATATCATGTAATCATATGTTATTTTGTATTTTTTTCCTCTTATTTTAATTATTAATGTAATCATTTCTTCATTATTCATGTTTATTATTATATTAATTAGTAACGCTTCTTAAAATAAAGTTTCGTTTAGTACCAAGCAACTTACTACACTATTCCATAATTACTACATACTTTTAATTTAAATCT